AAAAATCCCCAAAATCCCCCAAATTTTCCCCAAATTCTCTCGATTTCCTCCCCCAGCTTCCCCGGAATTCCCGAAATTCTCCCAGATTTCCCCCAAATCCTCTCAAATTCTCCCAAATTTCTCATTTTCTCCCCCAAAAAGGCCTAAAATTCCCCCACATTTTCCCCAAAATCTCCCTGAATTCCCACAAATCCCCCACGTTTGGCCTCAAATTCCCAAAATTCTCCCAAATTCCAACATTTTCCCCCAAAATTCCCCCCCCCCATTTCCCGATTTTCCCCAAATCCTCCCCATTTTCCCCAAATTCTCCCCATTTTCCCCCAAATTCCCACATTTCCCCCCTCGTTTTCCACAAATTCCCCACATTTCGGCCCAAATTCCCGAAATTCCTGCAGATTCCCTGAATTTTTCCCCCTCGTTTCCCCCACAATTCCCTCAAATCACCCCCAAATTTTCCCAAATCCCTTCAAATTCTCCCAAATCCCCCCAAATATTCCCCTCAAATCTCCCAAATTCCTTCGATTCCCACAAATCTCCCCCCGAATTTCCCAAATTCCTGCGAATTTTCTCCCAAATTTCACCCGAATTCCCTAAAAAAAATCCCAGGAATTTTCCCCCCTCCCCTGCGCCCCCTCCCTTTTCCCGAATCCCCCCCTCGGAAAACTCGGATTTTTTCCTAAATCCCGGCTTTTTTCCCCCAAATCCTTCGGATTTTAAATCCGCCGGGGGAAGAAAAAAATAAATCCCCGGTTTTTGAGTGAAAAACGGGCGGAATTCGGGTCTCCGGCGTTGGGAAAAAAAATCGCAATTTTGGGGAATTTCTCGGGAATTTGGGATTTGTGGGATTCGTTTCCTCCCCTGCCGGGTTCGGGGAATTTGGGATTTGGGGGAAAATCGCCGCAAATTGGGAAAATCCTGGGAATTCCGGCAAATCCCTGAAAACTGGGGCGAATCCCGGGGGATTTGGGAAAATCCCGGCTCGGCCCCGCGGGGTTCGTTAATGGGGGGAGGGCGAGGGGCGTTAATTGGATTAATTGGGGGGGGGGGAGGGGGGGAAGGGGCGGGGCGGTGGGGGGCGGGGGATGTGGGG